GTATTCAATGGGATGCTTTACACAAGGAGCATGGGGTTATTTATAGCCAAAGTTCCCCCCACATTTCCTTCCAAAAGTTTTCCCTCCAATGGATTTCCCTCCAAAATATTTAGGAGGGAAAGCTAGACTTTCTAGAAACTGAAATTTCCAGCAGCTCAACACATGGGTCTGGTGGGCCGGCACCCTCTTGGGCCTCCTGGCGGGTCTGGACCGAGCACAGGCTGTGTGCCTGGGCGCTGGCGGGCTGGTGCGCAGAGCCCTCGCATAGGCAGTCTGTCTGGGTGCTGTGCAGGCCAGCGTGCTGCTCCCCTGCAGAGCCATTCTTCGTGCCGCGTACCTTCGTGCCGCATATCTGCGTGCCACGCATCGGCCGTACGGGTGTCTCGCCCGCGCACAGTCTGCCTGATCTGTCGGGCTGTCTCGCCCAGGGGCCTGGTCTGCGCGCCCCGGCTAGCACCCAGTCGGGCTGGCTCGCCCAGGGGTCAGTGCGCCCTTGCTGGCACCCTGTTCTTGCCTTACGCTATCCAGTGGGGGTCCTTTCCCAGCAATGTTCCCCACATACCGGCACTTTGAGACACCTTTAATGCGTGAGCTGTGGCCCGTGACAAAGTGCTCCTCATGAGAGGTGCCCACCAAATCGGTTCTCCCCTCCCCTGGCTTGAAATTTTTAAAAAGTAATAAAAAAATAAAATTATTATTTTAATATTGTCATGTTATCAAATAAATAAAAATGTTAATAATTGATTAATAACTAGATTTATATATCTAACAAAAAAAATTTTAAATAAAATATTTATTTAAAAAATTAATAAATTAATATAAAATTTTAATTAAAACTTAAAGGATATAGGTATTTTAGCCTATTTTGTTTGTTACAAACCGATGAAAACCAAGTCTTAGTTTTGTTACATTATATTGACCGTCCAACTAATCAACTTGGAGTACTCCATTTTGTTTCTGTTAGATATGAGAGTTGCACCTAACACTGATGTCAATCATTGGTAAAGCCAAACATTAACAATCCAACAAGATGGGAGATCACATTGTTCTGATACTTCTCTTTTTTAATATTTAAATTCAATCATTCGTCTACCTTATCACTTTCCCAGTCCCTCACTCGCCACTAATGATAATATTCTTATCCATACTAAGTTTTTTGTTTTTAACTCATTCAATGGCTTCGGTGAGTTAAAAAAGGAAGTAGAAAGTTTTTTAAATCATGAAAGCATCAGCTAGATTTCGTTTCATCTTTGGAATGATAATCTACAGCACTATTAGGGAAAGCTAATTTGTTATTTCATCATTAGAATAATAATTTTATTGGATAAATTTAATTTTAAAAATAAATAAGTTACTTCAATCATTATAATAAAACATAAAATGTTAAAATAAAAAATAAAATTTCGCTATTTTTCGAGCAAAATGCAGTGTTAGAAGAAGAGAGATCCTAATTCAATTTTTTTGAAAAATGAGATCGACTATATAATGAGATTATGGATTCTATTGCAAAATGGTATCTAAAATTAAGAATTAAAGTTACCTTGTAATTACTAAATCACCTCTTTAAATTTTTTAGACGTAATATTTAAAAAAACACTTAAATTATTTAAAAAAATTCAAATAAATCTTTAGACTTTTAACAAAAAGAATACTATTTTACAGTCAAAATATATATATATATAAAATGTTACTATATTTTACATGTTTAATACACGTCACTCTAATATCAATCAATAAGTTTATAAAAATAAATAAATTATGTATTTAAATATTTAATTTACTAATAAATGCATATAAAAAGTCAAATCCTTATTTGCTATTTTTTTAAAACTAAATTATGTCTTTCTTTACTTCCCCCTTCTTGCACGTTTCACATTTAAAATTCTAGAACCTCAACTTTCATGTTTTAATTTAATTCATCCTCTTCCACACTGACACGTTAATCCCAAGTAGCCATAGTCATTTCTCTCCTAGGCAACCGCTGAACAAGATCAGTATTATTAGTCAAGTCTTTGTTTTATTATTATTATTATTTTGTTAATGATTTCACCAACTAAAAGATGATGGGATCAAATTCCTCTCTCAACCTCAATGATTTCATCGCGACATCATTAGTTTTTCCCACCTCGCGCTCCTACAACCTTTTCCACATGGAAAAAACAAATTGATTTATCTCACTGCTTTTAGACGATGGCTAAGACTATTTGGGTAAATATTGTAATTAAAATATTTATTTAAATAATATATCAAAACTTGATATTCAATTGAAATTTTCTTTTAATATAATCATCACTAAAATTTTAATTTTAATTTTGATTTTAAGTTTTTTTTTCTTTTAATAATTAAAAATAAAACGATATTCTGCCTACATAATTAATCTCTCTCCAATGGAAACAACATGAACGTGTCTCACACCCATGACTCATTGCCTCGTGTGGAAATTAAAGTTTATTCCAATCGCCCGCCCACAGTTACAGTATTGTAATTGACTTCACGTGTTGTCCATGGACCCCAAAGGAAAATCCCACGTGCATATTTTTGTGACCGATTCCTGTAGACGTTATTCTTTTCAATCATAATCAATCCCAAACCTAATCAGTGGAAGGCCACGTGTATCCATGGCTTCAACTTCTTGCTAGCGCATACGTTTATATCTGTTACCATTTAAGACATTTACTATCATTGTCCACATCCCTAAAGTTGATAATTAGTTATTGATTTCGTGCAAATGCTGATGATAAGCACATCGAAAAGTAATAAATAAAAATTAATGAAAAACATCTTAATCTGATCAAATTAAAAATTAAATTGTAACATACTAATTTTAAGTATAAAATTGACATTATATAAATTTAAATATATATTCTCGATCAATATCGTATATTTGAATCTAAACCCTCACAAGTTCTATTTTGAGAATGATTGACATATGCTATGTTTTGCACTAATTATGAAAGAGACATTAATCATATAGGAGTATGCTCGCATCTCTTTTAACTTGTTTTATGAATAAATATTATATATTTTTATTAAATTTTAATATTTAAAATACTTAAAAATATTAAAATAAAAATATTTATTATTTAAATAATAAAATAAATAATTAAATGGTTTGGGTTTGATTTTAAGAGATTAATAATATAAACCCTAAATGCCTATAATGACTCAAGATTGAGAGCCTCAATCAAAGTCACTTTCAAGTTTCAACATATTCATGCACATGCAAAGCATTTTTGCAGCCTGGCTAGTTGCTAGGTGCTAACTAAGGAAGTTGCCAAGAAACAGCTAAATTCAGCACAGCAGTGCCCTTGAATCAATTCTGTCTCTGTTTCCCTTTCAATGTAAAAAAAAAAAATTAAAAATGGCGAAATGTCAGCAATTAACAGGCTAACTTACCTAGTGACCATGTTTCCGTTTTCAGCCACGAAGCTGGGCTGAACACAGTGTACAAGCATGCGTGAGTCGGTGGGTCTCCTTTGTTCACAAGATGTTACCCTGTAATTTCCTTTAGCATCTTCAATGGCTGGCTGGCCCCAGAAGGAGGCAAAGACAACTTGAGGATTTGGGTTATCCAATTCTGTGACCTTTTGTCCTATTAATTATATTAACAATGTGATTTTTGTACAATTTCTTAATTATTCCCCCAGCAAGCGTGGCATTTGAGGATTGCAATTGGGCATCTGAAAACAAAATGGTACTGTAAAGAAGCCAATAATTAAAGGTGTAGAAACAGAGAAGCTGTGTAGCATGCTCCTTTGCGGGCTAATAATGAAACACGACACTACCACTTGAACTGTTTATATTTTTAGATAAAGGAAGCTGTGGTTCTGCCAAGAATAGTAGTAGTGAGTGCAAATAATGAGCTCAGAAGAAATGATTGTGCAGACACAGTGATGGAGAGGTTGGGGTAGGAGAATGTATTGATGCAAAATCAGTGATGGTGATGGAGGATAACTAATTTCAAGTTTCTATTTTTTAGAGATTTTGATTTTAAATTTTAAAATAGATATGATAACATTTATAAAATAAAAGAATTATCTCTTGTTGTTTGACTTAAAATCTCTTCGTAATTAAATAATTAATCTCATTATAATTAGTAATAAAAAATAAATATAAACCACCTTCTCAATTTTGGATTATTTTCTTAATGAAGATGAATTTCTTGAATTTTTTCTATACTTGTTTATTTAAGTTGAGCAGTGGAAATTACTTGAAAATAAACGTAAATTTTTTTATTTAGATTAAATTTTTATTTATGTGTAATATATAAGTATTTTGTTTAAATACAAATCACACCTTGTTATGATTTCTTAATTTTATATAACTCTTCGCTATTTGAAATTATGGTTGATTATCATCAGTTCAAAACTTATTTCATCTCTGATACCATTTTTCAACCCAAATCTATTTTTATTTGTTAGAAAAAAAATTTTTATTTATAAATTAAAAATTTATCTTATTTTTTATTGATGTGGATAAACAATATCTTTTTAAATTATAAATAATAAGCTTATTAAAAAATATATAAATATAAAAAAGTAAAAAATAATCCTTTTTAAGAGTATTGATCATTGAATTAAATTCAAATTGTTCAAAAATTAGATATTTAATACAATTTAATTTAGTAAAAATAATATTATCCCCTCAAAAAATTAGTTTTTTTATTTGAATTAGGATTATTTTTCCAAATCCAACAGTGAGAAGGAAATATTTATCCTCTTTTTGACTTGTTATTAAAGATTCAAGAGTGGATTTTACATGAATTAGTTGAGGTGAAAGAGTACTTCCTTGAGATAAGTCCTTGTTGTATAAAAATAAATTAAATTTTCCTTCGAAGGACGAAGATGGAATTGCCGTAAATTAAAGAATAGAAAACTGGTGTTTTCAGAAATGACTAAATTAAAATAAAGCTGCATTAATCCAATAATTAAAACAATTAGTCAAATAATAAGGCTATAAATTAAAATAAAAATAAAGGTGATTAGCTTTTACTTGTTCTTCTAACGGAGATAGAGGAAAGAGAGAGAGAGAGAGAGATAAACTAAGAGAGCCCTTCTGCTCACACCGTCGTGGTTACTTCCTGCAGAAGGTTCTCTGTGATTCTCCCATTATTACTTTAAAAAGAAAAAAAAAAACCCAAAGAAGAAGACGTAGATATTTGAAAAAATAAAAAAAAAAGATTTTATATCGAAGGGGTTTCGTGGAGAGAACCTTGTTTCCAACCCTATAAAAAAAAATCCCCTCCTTTCAGATTTCTTCTCTTCACGTAATTGCTTTTGATTTTTGTTTCCTCTCCGCTTCCAATTACTCTTCCTTTTCCTCTTCGAAACGCCCTTTTCCATTTCCCTGAAGGAAACTAGGGGATTATCTGAGAATTGAGGTGGGGTTTTCTCTGGGTCTGTGGTAATTAATTGAATTTGGTGGTGGGTTGATGATAATGGGATTTTGGTGGCTTTATAATTGTTGGGGCTGGTGAGAATTCGGCTTTTTGGGATAAATTTCATGGTGGGTCTATTTCGATTTAGGGGTATTGAGAGGGATTCAAGCTTAAATTTGGGAATTTTATTGGTTTGCTATATCTTTTGTGGGAGCCTTTGCAGAGGTGGATTTGGTCAAAATTTGGAGTTTTATCATTAAAGGAAGAGGTTTTGGGATTTTTTTCTCATTTGGGTGCGGGTTAATTTGCAGAAATATTGAATTTTGAGTGGTCTATTTGAGATTTTTATTGTGGTTTCTGGGAGCTGAAGAAAAGATGAGTTCAAGTATCACGGAGAATTTGGTTCCTGAAGGGAAGCTTTTGGTTCATATAGCTGAAAATGGACATTCGTTTGAGCTTGATTGTGATGAAACTACATTGGTTGAAGCAGTTATGCAATTGATCCAACCGGTTTCCGGGATTCACTTCAATGATCAGCTTGTTCTATGTTCAGACATGAAACTTGAGCCACAAAGGCCACTTTCTGCATATAAGCTTCCTTCTAGTGACCGCGAAGTCTTCATATTTAACAAGTCAAGGTTGCAAACTAATTCCCCCCCACCAATACCAGAGCAAGTTGATATAGATGAAGTTTCAGAACCCCGGCCGCCAGCTTCTTCTAGTGATCCTCATCCTTTGGATGATGCTTCTGACCCTGCTTTGAAGGCTTTACCTTCTTATGAGAGGCAATTTAGGTACCATTATCACCGTGGACATGTTATATATAATCGAACACTAGCAAAGTTGGATCATTGTGAAAGGCTGTTGAGGGAGCAGAAGGTTCAGGAGAGAGCATTGGAAGTTGCAAGGAGTAATTTAGATCAATATTATAGGATGATTCATCAAAATTGTTCGGAATTCATGAAGCGCTATAAACAGCAATATCGTTTTCATTCTGATTTATTGGAAAACTTTGACAAGGATATGCAGAAGTTGAGATCCACTAAGCTTCATCCTACATTGCAGACTGCCACTAGGAAATGCTTATTGGATTTTCTGAAGGAAGATAACTTAAGGAAGTCCGCAGATAATTGTAACAGCTCCCACAAGCAGTTTGAGAACAAAGTTGTAGATTTCAATCAGACGTTTGGTGAAGTGAAGCGCAAGGTAGAGGAGTTGTTCACTTGGAGGGCTTCCTTGCCTATTAAAAATTTAGAACTAAGCATTAAGGAGCACCATCGGTACCTGAATGAACAGAAGAGCATTATGCAGTCTTTAAGGTTTGCTTTCTTGGTTTATGCATTTTTTTCCCTCCTAGTAATTTGAAGGGAATTATGATCTTTACATACCATCCACCTTGCATTATGGTTTAAAATTCTGATTCAGAGAGTTGATAATTTATGCTAGTTTTGTTGTTTCAATCTTGAACTGTTCATGTTTTCCTCTTTATATGGGATGCTTGACCTCACAGTGGGTGAATTTGAGATTTTGGTATGAACAAATCATTGCTTTTGTTCTTCTTTTGACCTTTGTTCTGCATGATTTGTCAGAAATATTATAATGAATATTTAGACACACAACCTTGGACAAATGTCTGATCAACATGGCACATGGAATGGAAGCAGGGATTAGCATTACAGATTAGAAAAGAACTGAGTTGGTGTGTTTCTTGTCTGAATTGATGCTTAGACATTAAGGTCCTTTGGTTGGAAATTCAAAGTGGAGATTTGAGGAGCTAGACGTTGAGGACTTCATGTTCATTACGGAACTAATTGATATCCAGGGCAATGATGAATTGAAGTCAATCACCTGAGTGATTGATGAGGATTGTCAGAACTTGCGGATGAGGATTATCCTTTTTACAAATATTATGTGGCCTTAGCAATTGGAGGTTTATTGTTGGGTTTCCTCACATCCATGTCGGGGACTGCTTTTTTTTTTTTGGTACAAGAGGGAGCATTACGGCTTGAACCTAAGATCTCTGACATGTCAGAGACTGTTTTTGTTATAGAGCTTAGCGTATAATAACTTATGTACATCAATCTAAAGTAGTATCAACTTAAGAACTTTTCAAACACAAGATTGGGAGTTTTAATGTCATATAAAAAAGTCATAAATGGTCAAGGACCTTTAATAACACTTGAAAGTGTATTTGAAGCATGCATAAGTGAAAATATTTCTTTTAATGCTAGCTATTAATACTTCACCTCTTATAGAATATTTTTGAGTTAATTTATATTTTAGACAATTTACAATGCTTATTTCCTCTAAACTCTACTTTCTGAGATCCAAATGGATCTTACATGTTCCAATCATAAGGTTGAGTTTTGTTTAATAAGTTTTTCAATACACTATTTTCTATGTTCTTCTTCTGGGATGTTATTCTGTAATAGTTGTCTTCATAGAATTTCATTGATGTCTGAAATTGATGAATTTGGGTGTCTATTCTTGCAGCAAAGATGTCAATACAGTGAAGAAGCTTGTAGATGATTGTCTGTCCTGCCAATTGTCTTCCTCCCTTCGTCCTCATGATGCAGTTTCAGCCCTGGGTCCTATGTACGATGTCCATGACAAGAGTCATCTGCCCAGGATGCTGGCTTGTGAACGTGCAATATCAAAGCTGCTTGACTTTTTCAAGGATAAGAAGAATGAGATGAACATCTTTGTTCACAACTACATGCAAAAAACAACCTATGTTACGTACTATATTAAGGATGTCAAGTTGCAGTTTCCTGTTTTCAGAGAGGCGATGATCCGTCAGGAGGATCTATTTAGGGACCTTAAGTTTGTCCGCGGAATTGGTCCTGCATATAGAGCCTGTCTTGCTGAAATAGTAAGAAGAAAGGCATCTATGAAGCTTCACATGGGCATGGCTGGTCAGCTGGCTGAAAGGCTTGCAACAAAGAGAGAAGTTGAGGTCAGGAGACGAGAGGAGTTTCTAAAAGCACATGGTTGGTTCATACCCAAGGATGTATTGGCTTCCATGGGGTTGTGTGATACCCCCAACCAGTGTGATGTCAATATAGCTCCTTTTGACACTACATTGCTTGATATTGATATTTCTGATCTGGACCGTTATGCTCCTGAGTATTTAGCTGGGCTGCCTACCAAGGCTGAGAAGCCTGGTAGCTTAAGAGGTTCTATTTCCATGTCGAATGAGAGTTCTAATTTGGCTGATACTGAAGAGGTTGGTGTAGATACTCTTGAAAAAGATGATTCTGATGACATCCTTGAGGGATGCGAACTAGTAGAGATTGCTGGAACTAGCAAGATGGAAGTTGAGAATGCAAAACTGAAAGCTGAACTTGCTTCTGCAATAGCCCTGATTTGTTCTATGGGTCCTGAATTTGAATACGAATCACTTGATGATTGTAAAGTCAATAATTTGTTGAAAGATGCTGCAGAAAAGACTGCTGAAGCCTTGCATCTGAAAGATGAGTATGGAAAACACCTCCAGTCTATGCTCAAGGCAAAGCAAATGCAGTGTGTTTCATATGAGAAGCGCATTCAGGAACTGGAGCAGAGATTGTCTGATAAGTATTCACAGGGGCAAAAGCTTTCCACAACTAATGGTGGCACTGACTTTGGCCTCCTGGCTTCAAAGGCTGTTGATTGCAAGCCTGAAATCTCAGGTTGTGAGGTCAATATGCCTCGCATATCTACATCTGAGCCCATGGATGAGGTTTCATGCATTTCTAGTTCTTTGGATGCAAAGCTGGGACTTTTTACACGGCAATCAAGCAAAGGTCGAGAAGGGGTTGATGAGAATATGATGGATTCCTCTGGAATGCTCAATCCTCAGTTGGATTCATCAATGCAAGAGCCGCATCGAGAAGAACTGCAAGTTGGTGAGAAAGATGGTAAAGATAAGATAGTGGGACATTCGGGCATGTCACTCACTAACAGTTCTACCGCAGAGAGCATGCCTGAGCCTTTGAATGCTTTACCTTGTGAGACAGTAGCTGAGCTGATTTTCGATACTAAAGTTAGGGAGGATCTTGTGTTGGAATTGCAAAGTGCACTTGCAGAGAAGTCAAACCAATTAAGTGTAACTGAAAACAAGCTCAGAGATGCTTTGGATGAGGTTGCCATGCTTAGGAGGGAGATGGAAACAAGTGGTAAACTTCTTGATGAATCTCAGGTAGAGCGGATGAAAATTTTTCCCTCCCTATTTGCATTTTGGTTTTCCTGAGAATTGTGATAATTTAACTGATTCTATTTGCATTCCATACCGTTCTTAATTTAGCATGCCCCTTTTTATGCATTCATGTTAGGTAATGCATGGATATTACTGGGATTCCCTGCTTCACATGTTATGAACTACATTATTTGAAGTCATATACTTTATTTTAGTACGTTAAGTTACCTGGAATATTTTGTGGAAGTGGCAATGAAACTTGGTGCTATTTGGTAGGCTAACTATCTGCATATTGTATAACAAGGTTATACTTGTATGTTGAATGCATTAAGCTGCCTATTCTTCACTTCAGTACCTTTTGTACTAGCCCACCCACAGTATGGGTGGAGAGAGAGACAGAATCAGAGAAGACTAAGACTAAAGAACATTCGAGGTGTATAACTAACTTTTCAAAAGTGAGAGAAAATGTGATAAAGAGGTTGAACTAGGCACCCAAATTGGATGGCAGACCAACTTTCTTATAAATTTAGGAGGAGGTTAATGGTGAACTCAAGGGCTCCTTTATATATTGTAGGGAGGTTATGAACTTGTTAATGTTATTACTTTTCTAATAGTTTTTCTGGTATGCTAGAGTCAATTTGAAACTTGGTAGCGATTGCTAAGCTGTTCTAGCTGCAAATTATGGCTGAGAGTTTTAGTCTTTTCAGTATTACTAAAAAGCAGCATAGGTATAATGGGCTGTATGCTGCCTATTTTTTAATGCAGTTCCTTTGAGTCGATTTAAAGATTCGAAGATACAAGGAATTTTATTCTTCTGTGGTAGAATCCACTTAAAGTTGAGATGTCTAGAGGATCAAGTCTATGACAGCATCCAGATTACATCTAATTGCATTGTGAGGATTGTATGCCCTGTTACAGTGATATCATGTAATTTAAAATTTCCTGTAAATATCTTTAGTGAATGAGATAATCAAAGCTTGAGTATTTTCAAGCCATTGATTGACTGCCTTTTCTTTTTGCTTTCTCCTGTTTTGTTTTCATTATTTCTGACTTTTTTCCCTAATGCCTCTTTGGGTCATCAATATTCCAATGTTGTTTTAGTTTAAAGTGATGAGGTTCTTGTTATGGTTGATTTACATCTTTGTTCTTAAGACAAATGTAATGCATGTAATCAACATTGCGTTTTCTCTCAAGTCTAAGTTCCCCCTTTCTATTATGGTGGATAAGGCCAACTAGGTGAGATCTTGTCTAATATTGTTGGCAGTTAGGTGCAAATATAAATATATAGAAAAGTGGATGCTAAAAGCTTTGATTTGTCTGATGACATTTTTGCCTGTGTAGTTGTTGGTGTGCTTGTGAAATGAATTTCATTTATTTTTATTTTTGCCTCCTGCTTGTCGGGTATAGTTGGCAAACCTTAGGGTTTCTGGGGAAATTGGAGAAACGGCAAAAAATTGTCATTTCTTAAGAAGTATTTAGTAACTTACGGCTTCTAGATAGCATTAAAGGGACTACAAATAATTGTTGCAGCCAATTGTGCTGCCAATCAAATTTGATATGAGGGAATGTTGGAGGAAAGTATTATATTTGCTTTAATAGTGTAAATTAGCTATTGATCACCATTACATGCTAAACTCTAATTTTTCCCTCTCTGAGTTGCAGATGAACTGTGCTCACTTAGAGAATTGTTTGCATGAAGCAAGAGAGGAAGCCCAAAGCCATCGTTGTGCTGCTGATCGGAGGGCCTCAGAGTATAGTGCACTGCGTGCATCTGCTGTGAAGATGCGTGGTCTTTTTGAAAGACTTCGAAATTGTGTCTACGCTCCTGGTGGGATGGCTGGTTTTGCTGATTCTTTGCGTGCTTTGGCTCAGTCTTTGGCCAAGTAAGTTACTTGCTACAATGCTTGTGAGGCTTCCACAGTAGTAATTTTATGTTCAGTCTCACCCACTCCCGCTATTTCCCTTTCCAGTGTTAGGTCATTTTTAGGGGCAAAAGATTGGTGGGCTTAGGGGTGGAAGAAAAGTAGAAACTTATTTTATTCTGAGCTTTATAAATTAAAGCAGAGAGAAAGCTTAATCAAATTTTATAGTTGAAGTCCCTGCACAAAAATTATTTATTCATAATAAAACTTTTAGGTCCTATTTAGCATTCCAGAAATTTCATTTGTCTATAAGAATGTAGTTGTAAATGCTTTCTTCCCCCCCCCTCCCTTTCTTTCAACGCATTGCTTTTTTCAATATTTGGGGAAAAGGTTGAAACTTCTGTAATCTAATATACTTAGAAGTTTAAAGGGCGATAGACAGACATGACTGTATATTTTCTGATGTTCTAAAGTGCTTTTTTTTTCCTGTTGAATTTCACTTATGTGATTGACAATTTAATGACAATGGTCCAAATATCTGTGCTATGAAATTTTCAGTTCCGTTAGTGATAGTGAAGATGATGGAACTGCTGAGTTCCGTAAATGTATCCGGGTCCTTGCCGAAAAAGTTGGTTTCTTGTCCAGGCATCGCGAAGAGCTGCATGAGAAGTACACTAATATTGAAGCAGTAAATGAACAGCTTAGGAAGGAACTGGAAGAGAAAAACGAGCTGGTTAAAACTCTGTACACTAAGCATCAACTTGAGAAGCAGGTAACCTGTTCTCAATGACTCAACTTCATAGGGTTGGGTGGATAAGACTTGTTTATGCCATGCAGATATATGCTTGAACTGTGAAAAGAAACTTCTACCAGCTTTTGTTCTTGCCGGGCCATTAACCATGTATAGCAAGCTGTTGTAGAATAAATAATTGCATGCCACTCATTCTTCCTGATTATTCTAAATCTAATTGTTCATGACTTCTATCTTTCTTTTTATGTGCATGCACAGAGAGGATATATAGGATCTTTTTAGTCTTAACTAAGTTGTTTGATGTTCTTGGTTCAGGCAAACAAGGAAAAGATATCTTTCAGCCGCTTGCAAGTCCATGAGATTGCTGCATTTGTACTTAACTCAGCTGGGCATTATGAGGCTATCACCCGAAACTGCTCCAACTACTACTTGTCTGCTGAATCTGTGGCCTTGTTTACTGATCATCTCCCAATCCAACCAAGCTTTATTGTCGGCCAGATTGTGCATATTGAGCGCCAAACTGTAAAGTCACTGCCGCCTTCGTCAACTAGACCTGAGCATGGTAGGGCGGATCCTGTGGATCAAATGACTTCTGACTCAGGGACAGAGCGGTTAACCTTGAATTCTGGATCAAGTTTAAACCCCTATGGTCTCCCTATTGGATGTGAATACTTCATAGTGACAGTAGCCATGTTACCTGATACCACCATTCATTCACCGCCTCCTTCCTGATCCCTGCCCTGAAAGCAGATATGACATGATGGAAGAAACCAAAGTGTACATACGTTATGTAAGCCATCATGGTGGCAGTTGATCTAGATTTTCCTTTTGTACAGCTGATATTCCAAGTTTAATCTCCTTTGTACATAAAGCTACTCTTTTTAGGTATGTAAAAAGAAAAAAAAACTGTAAATATTCTCCAGGCATTTGCCCTCTAACAAAGCCTTTGTTCATTTATTCTAAGTTCATTTCAAAAATGTGCTTCTGCATGCTTGAACATCATCTTTACCTGTAAAATATCACTTGAAGGCAATCATCTCTCTGTATTATTTCCGGATGTTGCTAGCAGAAATGAGTTTTGTTTCCTGATGTTGTCTCAGACCAGCTGCCCTTTTAAATGGTTGTTATCAAGAAGCTGGATGTCTGCAAATGTTTATGGTAATATTCGTTGCATTCACTAGCGATTAGTACTTGTTTTACCGTGGTGTGATTGCAACCCTATCATTTGTTGTTAGACATACCCATAAAGCCTTACTATGAACTTTTTTTAAACATATTTTCAGAATCTAATGCTTCGGAAGTTTGAACCCATTTTGTGATAATTAAATTTTGCAAATGGTATCAGGTGCAGTATGTACGGAGGACTGGATTTTTGTCACCAATGAATATTAGCACTTGGGACCTTGTCCTAAGACATCAATACATGGGCAAATTTTATAGTCATGTGAAAATCAGGAAACCATAGACATTTTTACATAAAGTTTTCATTTTCCTTGTGGATGCATCTTACATAAATAGCTACTATTTAGGAGAAGAGGATGACCGGATGAGAGTTCCATGGTTAATGGGTTTGTTCTACAAGGACTTTTGACAAAACCCAAAGTCCCATCCCCAAGGGAATAAAAGGAAAAAGAACAATGGCTTTGTTTGCTGGCAGCCCAATGCAAACGGCAGATTCTACTTGGAGGTGTACATTAAGGCCGACAACCCTGAACTCCAGTTCGATAACCCACCAATCAGAAGAAAACTTTGGTAGGCTGAACCTTTTCGATACTATTCGACATGTTGATGACTTGATACAAGTGGCTGACTTCAGTGCTTCAGGTAGGTTTCGGCCAACCACAAAGTCCAACATTAACGAGAAGATGAACTAACAGATCATTCAAAATGACTCTGCTTCTTTTTCCTACCATATGTGGTCAATAATCAACAACCAGAGAGGCCACGTCCCTGCTTCCAAGCTATATATAAGCGTTACAGCATGCCGTGTTCTCCTCGCTCAAACCATAAGAGAGAACTTTCCTTCTTTAAGGGAACAGTACGCTGCTTAGTTTCAAATCTCTAGAAATGGCCTCTTTCAATTGTTTTGTTTTAGCATTCTTCATGGCTTTTTCATTTTCAAGCATCAAAGTTGGCCTAGCAGCTCGTCATCTTCTCCAGCTGCCACCTTTACCACCAATGCCAACTTTGCCTAGAGCAACGCTGCCACCATTACCATCTATTCCAAATCTCCCACAGCCAACAATACCAATATTGCCAACCACCCAACCATCTCTACCCAAGCCTGGAACTCTACCTCCGCTTCCTAGCATGCCAACCTTGCCTACCATCCCTAATGCCCCCAAAGTAACCCTGCCACCCCTGCCTAACATGCCCTCAATCCCCACTATACCGACTATTATTCCATCCATCCCATTTTTCTCTCCACCACCTGCAAAAGCTAGCCCTTGATGAAAATGTTCAGTTTGTGCTCCCTGATACAAAGAGCTTGGATTATGTGTCTTTGCTTTGGTGTGGTCTAATACTTTTAAACATTAATCTTGTATCACCAAGGGAATATATCGAGGTTTTTAGCCGATTGTTTCATTCCAGTTTACTTGTGGCAGAGCTTTTTTTTTATTCAAATTTGTTTGTACAAATATTGGGAATTTGCTGTATTATTGGTGTCATGTTCTTGTCTGATCAGAAATCACTTTGTGATTATATATATTGAATGATTACCGTAATAATATTGTAAACTGTGGAATGATTGAATGCAAAGAATCAGTTTGGGAGAATTTCTGAAATAATTTTCACCATCTGCAAATTCAGTTACAAGCCCAATAGCATTTATTGGTGCTGATGAACAGTTAACTGAATAACAGAATTAGGAGTAAAATTGTCCAAGCCACAAATGAACAGTAACATTCAGTTAAAAACATTGAACAAACTTGGTAAAACACTACTAGACCTATAGCATCCCAAACTGAAGCCACTAAGATTTTTGTTGACAACAATTCAACCATTGCCATTAATAAGAATCTTGTTTATCATGGTAGTACCAAACATATCCATGTGAAGTTCCATGCATCAGAGAAGCTAAGAAGAACGGTGAAATTCAAGTAAACTACTACCGCTTTGAAAATCAGTTGGCAGACATTATGGCCAAAGGTTTACCTAGATAGAGATTTGAGTAACTGAGATCAAAGTTGGGAGTCTTAAAAGCGATTCTCAAGGACTGTTGAAGTTGAGACCTTCGCCGAAGACACAACTACAGGAAGCATAAACACTTCACTGATGCAGCAGCAGCCTACTGGATGAAGCTGTAAATATTTTTGGTATATTTCCACTGTATGTGATGTAATGTTGACTTCTTCTAAAGAACACATTTTGTGATTTTATATTAGCATCTGTGGGAGTAGGTGGCAGTAGGACTGTGCAACGGT